TTTTTTCTTTTTCTTATGTGGTGCTGAGGAAGCGAACCCAGGGCCTCATGCATGCAAGGCAAGCGCTCTACCACTGAGCCACCTTCCCAGCCCCCCAAATTATTTTTTAATGACACAAAACTGCACCCAATAGAGGAGAACACTCTTGCTATTTTTCCCCACTTGGTTCACATGTAGTTGGAGAAGTAAAAACATTTTTCTATTGAATAGAATCAGCACTGCTTCTTCAATTAGGTCAGGGCTTCCTGCCATTGAACATCGACAGGGGAAGCAGAATGTTCCAGACTGAGCACTAGATGCAGAGCTATTAGGCCTCCGCAGGATTTCTGGTCCCAGGTTTGACCTCAAATGCCTTCTGCCAAAATCTACTAATAGGAGGGTCTTGGCTCCCTGCTCCGTGGGAGAGGAGGGCAGTAAGAGGCGTGGGAGCTACTGGCGTGGGCCAGTGGGAGGGCGAGCCGGGGATGGACATCCAGAGGCCTGCTTTGCGGGACTTGTCGGGTAGGGCCAGGGAGAGACCGGACCAGAGAGCCTCCGCCACTGGTCCCAACCTCGCTTCGCCAGGGAACAGCCAAGAGATGGCGGCCTCGAGGCCCCACGGTGCCGACTGGCACCATCTCCCCATCTGTAACTCAAGCAATGACCGGTAATGGGGGTGGGGGGTGGGGGCAGGCTCTTTCCCACGTTGTTTCCATCATTAAACCATGATCGATCGTTCGGACCCGCCAACCACTTCGACAATGACTTCCTCAAGGCCACACACACCGAGGAGACAGTATATACATATACACACACATGCATACATATACACAAATGCATATATACACATCCACACATACACGCACGTGCATGCATACATATACGCACATGCACACACATACACACACATGTGCACGCATACATATACACATGCATACACACATATGCATACATGCATGCGTACATGCATGCATACATATACACACATGCATACACACATGTGCATACAGGCATATACACACATGCATGCATACATATACGGGCATATGCACACGTGCATACATATGCATTCATACATACACATCTACACACAGATGCATACATATATACACGCATACATACGTTTGTGTGTACATATGCACATGCATCTATACGCATACATATACATACCTATGTATACATGCATTCACACATAAAACATGGTTTCAACGGCTGTGCGAGAGACACTATTACGAGACCATCAAAAGCACGGTACTTCCGCTCATCTGGGTCTGGGAATCTCCTCCTCCGGCCGCGCGTGTTCGCAGCCATCACACCCACCTGTCAGAGCGGCTGTGAGGGGCTGTGGGGACATCCGGGGACTTCTGCCTCCTGTCTTGGCCCGGGCGCCAATAGCCGACCTGCGCTCACGCCTGAGCTCCGGGGGCCGGGCGGGGCGGCCCGCGTCCGTGTCCGAGACCCGCGTGCAAAGGGGCTGCTTGGCTCGTGGGGCGCGGGATCCTCGTTGCCACCGGAAGTCCGGGCATCGCCACGCTTGCGTCCAGACTGACGCCCCTGCGGGGACACCCCGGGACCTCCGCGGCCCCAGAGCGGGGCCGGGCCTGCGCCGTCCGGGCGCGCGGGGACACCGGGACTCGTGGAGCCGGGCACGGCAGGGGACACG